TGAGGTCGCTGAGCGGCATGCCAGCTGCAAGGGAGTCAGAATAGAGCGCCGGGGGAATTTTCTGCACGCGCCGAGCCTGCTGACATTGAACATATCTGTGTGCTAAGCGTGTGCAGAAAAGGCGCTCCGTGTCCCTCTACACGGGGCGGAAACATGACACCCGGCCTACCTGTCAGGAAGCTCCTACATACAATGGACCGTCAGCCCTGTAGATATGTACAGACACCAAACGCCTTCTTGTTAGGTCAGCTGTGATTGTTGTGATAACTCTGTAAAATAAACGTGTGTACATATTCCTGGATCATACGTGACCTACATGCATCTCTGTACAACCAACGGTGCAGCGCCCAGCCGGGGGGGGGGGGGGGGGGGGGGGGCGGAGCCGCTGTGACAGAACGGACGAGCAGTGAGGGGAGATAGAACGCCATCACCTCGTAGCCACCCCGAGCAGCCACACAATGAAATCAATGAGAAAGTAGTCAGCAATGAACACGCACTGGGGGCAGCTGAGGACCAACATGTATGTAGTCAGTGTATGTGTGTAGTCACTGCCTGCCAAGCAATAAAGAGGACCTGTTTATGAACACAGCCCGGGTTAGCCTGAACTTCTCCCATTGTAGCGTGTTCCGATGTAAATATAAGGCCGGGGTTATAGGAAGGTGGCTCGGTATGTCTGACGTGTGTTCCCGCCTCGGCAGGAGAAGGACCAATCAGAGAGGAGAGCAGCCTGGTGGAATGTTCCTGGGATCCTCCCCCCCAATACATGTCCGTGTGATGTCCGGCTCCATGCCTCACATACAGCTGACATGAGAACACAGCTAGGTGGGGGATGAAGGAAAAGCTGCAGACAGCCATAAAAAAGGAGAAACATTTATTGTACATTGTCCATCACTTCCTGTTGATCACAGAGGGGGCGGGGCACAGCCGACTCCTCTGATTGGTCAGTAGAAGGCAGTCATGATTTCCGCAAGCGTCGCAGCTCCCAATGTCCGCCGGGATCAAGTCTGAGCTCCATGTGGTGAAACTATGGAGAGAGAACATGGCTCATAAGCAGAACACACAGGTGGCACCATACCACACGTATGTACAGGACAGACACCATGCACACGTATGTACAAGACAGACACCATGCACACGCGTGTACAGGACAGACACCATGCACACGCGTGTACAGGACAGACACCATGCACACGCGTGTACAGGACAGACACCATGCACACGCGTGTACAGGACAGACACCATGCACACACATGTACAGGACAGACACTATGCACACATATGTACAGGACAGACGGGCCTCATCATGTCACACGTATGTACAGGACAGACACCATGCACACATATGTACAGGACAGACACCATGCACACGTATGTACTGGACAGACAGGCCTCACCATGTCACATGTAGGAGAGGCCGGAAACTGATCATAATAAAGATCTACAAAACTGTTATACTTCCCCTTTAAGACATCGCACTTATTTCCTGGCGGGTCACAATTTGGGGTCTCACCTCCTGCAAGCTGCGTCTGTGTCCAACGCTGATTAATGTCATCCCCATCTGGGTACAGTGCGCGTATAACTCCGCCTCCGCGTCCTCGCTCAGCGCACTGCTCGCCTCATCCAGCACTGACAGAGAAGACCGACACAGCACTTAGTGTGTATTGGAGAGACCCCAACAACCCCAGGTGACCCCACCATGACCCCCCGTACCAACATCGCCAGGTAACCCCACCGTGACCCCCGAACAAAAACCTCCAGGTGACCCCACCGTGACCCCTGCACCAAAATCTCCAGGTGACACAACCGTGACCCCTGCACCAAAATTTCCAGGTGACCCCACCGTGACCCTCCGAACCAACATCGCCAGGTGACCCCACCGTGACCCCTGAACCAAAATCTCCAGGTGACCCCCACCGTGACCCTCCGAAACAACATCACCAGGTAACCCCCACCGTGACCCCCGAACCAAAATCTCCAGGTGACCCCACCGTGACCCCTGCACCAAAATCTCCAGGTGACACAACCGTGACCCCTGCACCAAAATTTCCAGGTGACCCCACCGTGACCCTCCGAACCAACATCGCCAGGTGACCCCACCGTGACCCCTGAACCAAAATCTCCAGGTGACCCCCACCGTGACCCTCCGAAACAACATCGCCAGGTAACCCCCACCGTGACCCGCAGACCAACATCTCCAGGTGACCCCTGCATGTTGGTGCGCCAGAAATCCCTGAATATGACCCTCCCGTCCTCTGACTCCCCCTTCTGGCAGATTCTATACATTGCAGCCTCTGTCAGGGTTTTGTCACACGTAACATACAAAGGAGGATCGCGCTCACCAGTTCCAGTCCACTGCATGGTCCAGACCCCCCGTCCTGCTCACCAGGTATGTCTGCCACAGAGAACATGACATGAAAGGAGCTTC